AAACCTATAATCTCAGCATTAGGGAAGCTGAGGCAGGAGGATCCTTAATGTGAGGCAAACTTGGTATATATGGGGACATTCTGTTTCAAGTTACTTTCACTCACTTACCCAAACAAATAATAAAAGATTAAAGTATTGGAACCACATATAATATATAACAAACAGTGCAAACAGCATGGACAGGAGTGCTAGTTTGATGGAAGCATCAGAAATTCAGAGATTAAGAGACTATAGGACTGTTGCCAGTTTTCTCCTTTACTTTAGTTCCCCTTTTGTTCTCACCCTGAAGAGGACAAAGTGACCTGGAAATTATAGAAGTTGATGGGGAGGTGTTTCAGGGATTTCTGTCCTACTCTCCAGATAGGATTTTCCCTTCTTTCCGTTACTGATTTTTATGACACCTGTCCTTGGTGGCATATGGCATGACTGGAAATTAAATGATTTGTGAGAGAATTCAAGGAGTAAGAGGCAGAAAGGAAGGAAGGAAGGAAGGAAGGAAGGAAGGAAGGAAGGAAGGAAGGAAGGAAGGAAGAGCCCCATGACTCTGACTCCAAAGCCCCAAATTGCTTCACTAACTTTTAAGGCATATTTACAGTACTGTGACAAGAGTGTCTCCTGATGCAAGACAGAAAAAAGGAAACTATACTGCACATGGTATAGGCAAATCATCTTAAGAGTAACTTGCACTGCCTATTCTTTTCTGTAAGGCCATAACCTACGCACTCACAACTGGAGGGGGCCTTTTCATTCCGCCCTTCTCTGTCTTCATACGCAAAGAATATTGGGTGTAGATATTTACTTCCATTCAGTCGTGAGACATTTGTTAGGTAACCACTAAGTACCTAATCCTGGTTTGGTGCTAGAGATAAAATGGTGGACAAAAATGGTCTTGGAAATTGCTCTTTTGGGGAAAGAGAAGCATTTAGCATATAGTGATGCCAGCAAATTTAAAAAGTATCCCAATAGTTAACTCTGGAATCAGAATGAGTAGGCTCAAATTTTGATTCTGCCTCTTCTCTTAATCTGGGGCAGATCACTTAGAATCTCTGTCTCCACTTCCTAGCTGCAGAATAGGAATGAAAATAGTTCCCACTACTGTTCTGAGGATCAAGTGGGTCACTTTATACATAAGCATTTATGTACTGCCTGGTGCACACATAAGTGTGACATATCCATACAATCTATAAAATACATTATTGGCTTTGAATACATTCAGCAGCTTACCCCCAAATTCTTCTCCCTTGACCACAGTCCAAATACATAGCCTTCCCCCTTTGACTTGGCAACATAGACAGGAGTCGGGAAGCAGAAATGATAAATGGTGAGGGGAAAGCTGGGTGTGGGTTGAGTTTGAGATCTGTCTGCCCCATATATGGCAGTAGGAGAATCTCTGAAGAGATGTTTTCTTCTGATAAAGTTTCCCTTACAGTTCTAGCGGCTGTTTGCACTGTGCTTCCAGTCCAGATGAGGTTTGCTGAAGTGCCAGCAATGACATGCATCCTGCCAACACTCTCCTGACTGTCCCAGCCTCACAGACATGTCTAAACAACTGAGGCTGGGGTTGAGATTCAATCTGAGTCTAGAATTGCTGTCTGACCCAGGGAGAAAGGCGAGAATTAGTGTTTGGTGACAGTGCAGACAGGCTGGTTCAATGGGGCCCTTTATATGAAGGTTTGCAAGTTCAGCACTCAAAAGGTTGTTTTTTTTCTTCAGTATTTGGCCTGCAGTTAGGGTGGTCAGCATGGGGAAGAAGTGTCTGGGTTCCCTGCCGTGTGAGTAATATGCTTCTACAAGATACACCTTTGTACAAACATCATTGCAACAGAAAAAATAACTAGGTGCTTCAGAAATGGGAACTTCAAAGACATTTCAAGCGCATTATATACAACCGAAAGATGTAAAGAAATTGGAGGCACAGAAAAAACAATTTTTATGAAAGTGGGGGATTTAGTCTTTATATAGAAAGATGAAAGATGTGGTGCATTTAGACTACAGATGCCAAAAGAAGAATTTAATGAATTGTCAAGCATATGAAGGGACAATACATGATCAGTAATAATGAGCTTTCATCTGCTGCTTCTGAGGACTCACTAAAAGGGAAAATTTAAATTGTGACAAGAGAAATGAAGACAGTCAGTACCAGGATCTGTTCCCACAAGAAGGACTAGAAATAAAGCTCTGTCTGTGGAGATTAAATAAATAAGAGGCAAATCTATCAGACACGGGAAGGCTCCGTTCTACTTAACTTCAGGATAATTGCCACTTCTTAAGCAATCACTCTGTATGAGGCCTTATCCAAGCACTCTATGCCATCACAGTTAATCTTTACAACCACTGTGGGTGGTGGATACCATCACATCCTTCATTGTTACAGCTGAGACAACCCAGGCTCTGGGTGGTTAAGTGGCTTGTCCAACGGACAGTGTCAAGGGTCTGCAATGTCAAATCCATGTCCTTCTGCCTTGAGAGCCTGTTTTCTGCAGTATATGGCTTCTTCGATTTAACAATACTCCATCACACAATGTCCTTTCTTTTATTAATTGTTCTCCAGTTTATATTTCCCATATCCCCCTTTCCAAACAAAATAATCTTGTCCAAAAACTGTATTAGAATGACGAGCTGGTTATATTAGCAAACCATATATATCTGTTCAGAATGGACTTTTGTACTTTGGACCATATTAAAATTAAGCTGGAACAAGGTCAAAAGAAAGGAGAGGGACATGCTATCACAATTTCTATTATTCTGAAAAATGTAATAAAAGCACTGTGGCACCACACACACACACACACACAACCGGACACACTCGCATACATGCGCATGCGTGTGCAAACACACACACACGCACACACAGCTAGAAACAGGTAGGGAAAAATGCCTGGCCTTATTGAAACAAAAACCTAATTAGCTTGTAATTGAATCCATATTGATGTAAAGGGCTTGGCAAGTAGGATATTAAAAGGAATGAGTATACACTGGTAGCAGAACAATTAGATGGTCAACAAATCAGAGATGAAAGTTGATTACATTTATATCCATATATACTGGTTTCAGATTTTCAGCAAGCTCAGTTTCTTTGCACAATGCAGATAGCAAACCATCACTGATGGCTGTCCTCAGTGATATTTGGGTGTTTTGTTAAAGTGCTGGTTCATGCACCACCATTTTACTGCAGAAAGAATGACAGTTCAGTTTAAATATTGGCTATTGGGCTCTACTCCGAGGTCACTGTAGGTATGGTCAAGATATGAATTAACATGGTCCTAATAAGACAATAACAGAGAGTGAGAGGAGAGAGGAAATGTACATTGGAAAGAGAAGCCAGAAGTAGTGATTAGAATCATGTTTGAAATATTGCTAACTATGACATATATGAGGATAAAGACTTTTGAATATAGTACAGTTCAGGCAACCCCTTTGAAAGAGTAAGATGGGAATAATAAATAGGTATCATCTACCTGATTTCCACAAGGAAATACCATAATATTAATGGCATCTTAACTTTGGCTACACATTAGAATAGTCTGGGAGTGAGTCCACCATGGCAGTTCCTATGTACAACCATAGGTGAAAATCAGTGCGGTAGGTACATATCATATTTGTCTACTTTTCATTACCGATTCCTCAGGTTATTGTAGACTCTCCCAGACCCTTTCTTTCATCATCCCACTTAAATCTTATAACCATTTTTCTTATCGTAGAGACTGTTAGATGGGTTTAGGGTGGTCATTCACCTAGAAAATAGCCAGGTTGGAGTTAAAAATGAAATATTATGATCCTATAGGCTTCACTTAGGGCAACTTCTTTGCACTGTGATCCCAAGAGCTAGCCCCAGTCTCCCACGCTGGAGCAGTTACACTATCAACTTATTGGGCCTCTCCTTCCATATTATTGCCTTCCTTTAATACAACCTGCATGACAAAGCCAGTGAGCCCTTTTCAATGGAACCACTGCAGTGCTCTTGCTCACAAATTTCCACTGGTTTGCAAGGGCATTAAAACTACTGAAATCCAAATTCCTTTTCCAGAGCCTCCACAGTCTTGCATGTTCTAACTTCTGCTCATCCCCTCAGCCTCATCTCATCTCTTGCCAGTTTCAACCACAGTCACCTTATTCCAACCACACTGCTCCTCAGACTCTTGGAATGCTTCAAGCACTTCCTTTCCTAGGGCCTTAGAACTACTTTTCATCTCTGTCTGGAATTCTCTTCCCCAGGCTCTTTGAATGGATGGCTCCTTTTCATCCTTCAGATTTGAATTTCAAGATTCTCTATCCAGTGCCTTACTAACATTCAAGCTTGAACTTAGGATTTAAAAAAATCTTATTTTGATTATTGCTTTAATAATATTTATATTGTCTCATTTTTGTCTTTTCTGGTGAAATATGAGTTCTAGAAGGGCAAAAAACATATCTTTGCTATATCTGTGTAGGTTGTATCCTGCTGAAGTGTGCCACCGCTGGAGGTATAAATATATAATGACTTTCTGGAAAATGACAATAGAGTATCCTAAGTATGGGGTTCCTTTTTGTAATTCACATAAAGATGATAAACAGTCTATCAAAGTCCTAAATGCATACATTATATACACATCTTTGGGCATGCTTTAGTTTTAGTTTAACATAGAGGAGATGCTTGATATATTCATTGATTGTGTGTGGCTAAAGAACAAAATATTAATATTGGCAATGGGAAGGACTAGAAAAGACTGTTGATAGATTTGGTAATTTGAGAAGAGGGAAGCAAGGTCAAGTTAAAGGTGACTAAGCACGAGCCCAGGAGCCTAGAAAGAAAAGCAGGTATCAGTGTAAAACCAAAATAGAAGCTAAAGAAGAAAAGGCAGGTTTGAGGTGATGACAAGTCCTTTTAGTATATAATATGAGACCATCTCTATAAATGAAGACTACCACAACCTTCAGAGATGGGACAGGTATTTTGCTTTTTCCTAAATTCTGCTACTCAGAACAGCAATCCTCAGATTCTTGGGATATAGTACACTTACCTCTGCATACTCGGCAGCAAGAATCTGGAACAGAGACTGGGAAGGCACAGGTCAGTTTAGGGCAAGTCTTGAGACCACAGTACACATTCCCCTCCTGCCAAGAAAAGTCAGAATCAGTTCCAGGCTTATGTGAGATAAGTATTTGTCAGGGATTACCTTAGTACCTGGGATACAGCTGGGACTCAAAACATGGCTCTCTTACAGCTAATTGTAGGTTTTTCTTCATTTCCTATTTCCTCATGAGAGAGAGATGAACTCCACAAAGAGTCAGCAATCTTTGTCAGGTATCCAGGTCCAAGAAAACAGACAGCATTCTGGGAGGGCTGCCACTAGCTTCCAAACCTTGTTCCTCTCTCTTACATTTACTATATTCTTTGGTCCTTATCATAACATATCTAGCTGTTGGGAGTGGATGGGGATGAGAATTTGTGCCATAGCCACTATTTAGAACATTCAGTAGAGTCTTCTTTCAAAATCCAAAATACAGCAATCTTGGGGGGATGAAATTATACAAGGTGATTTTAATTTCACAGTTCAATCCCATGTGAGGCAAGGGAGAGGAGTCACTTTACTTGGTAATACATCTATTATTCACATAATTTCCATTTCCTAGAATTCTATTTTTTAAATGTTATCTCTTAAACTTTGTGCTTTGTTCATGGATCACATCCTGCTAAGGCTTGAAAGGCCATTAGAGAAATAATATCCCAATAAAATTCTCCCAGGTTACTGAGATATTGTATGTTTACTACAAATCCCAACTGGAAGTGATTCTGTCATCCTTGGTACTCCAGTGTTTATTTCCCCAGTCAGTGTGTAAAGATGTTTCTACGTTCCTTCCAGTTTCATTTTTTATTGTTTTGTTGTTTGTTGTAATTTTTGAGGCAAGGTCTTGCTGTGTAGCTCAGCTTGTTTTCAAATTTGTGACAATCCTCTAGCCCCACCCTTTCAAGCTTCATCTTCTTAAAACATAATATTTTACTATTCTTTGAGGATTTCACACATGCACACTATGTATTTTGATCACATTCTTACCTTTCTCCTCCCTTAACTACCCACAGATTCACCCCCATCCTCAACCCCTCCCAATGTCTTGTCCTTTTTGGTAAACTATTGAGTCTATTTGTATCACTCATATACTCTTGGGCATGAGGGGTCATTTACTGGAGAATGAGCCCCCTACCAGGAGCCACACCCTTAAGAAAACTGTTGCCTCCCGCAACCAAGAAGCCACTACCTGACTTTTTCTCTCTGAGAAGACATTGATTGCTCCTCTCATGCTTCATTCTAAATATCTATTTTCCCTATTTAATTGTTTAACATTCTCTGAATTACACAATAAGGTAAATATATAGTTTCTATACTTTATAACATGTATACAGTGATGAATAATGTCACAGGAATTATTGTGATCAGACATAATTTTCTCATTGTAGGAAACTGGCAATTGATTACCTATAAGTAATAAAATGAAAGGAATAGGGATATGGTCCAGTGATGAAGTGCCTAGAAATAGGACAGAAACAAATAGATGCCCCGTGGTTTTATTTTTCCCTTCAAATTGGATCAAGCATCCCTAAAATAATGCTAAGTCTTCTTCTACCAATAGCATTACGAAGACTTCAATAATTATGAATCCTTCAGGTGAAGGGTTAGGTGGTGTAACTATTTAGGAAAAGCAGACGCTGATTAAGTCAAATAGCTTATCTTTGCCTATTTCAGCACTCTTAACAGTCGTAAGCCTTGGATACATCTGACTTTTAGCTCGTTTCATATTGTTCAAACTTGATGATCAGGTAGTTTGTACAGGTTGAGAGGCTTTAGTTAAATACACCTTATCTTCATTCAAACACCTTATATTCTCTGCTTCACTGAAAACACAAGGACAGAGGCGGCTACTTTCCGATCTAGGTAGTGACCAGCAGGAGCATTAAGATGCAGGGTCTTACCGAGCAGCTACACTGGGTGCACTGATTGGGTTGCCGGTTCTGAAAGAGTCCTTCAGCCATAAACAGTTCTCCATGTTGGTAAGTGGTTCCATTGTACTCACATGACTTGCTGGTCACCTTATTGTTCACTGGAGGTAAGGAATCTTCTAGAACAGAGTAGAGAAGAAAAAACAAAGCACATCAAATATTGGCATAGTTGCAAAGAATTTCATAATTCCCAACAGCAGATGGGGCTGTACTACACAGAGGGAGTTAAAACACAATCCTTGCTCCAGAGGTTAATAATCATAGGTATTATTAAAACAGCCAGCCACAGAAGAATCACAGCTGACTATCTATGATTACCTTTTCTTAAGAATTAATGAGCACTTCTTATATGCCAAGCACTATCATAAGCATTAGAGACACGAGGACAAGGCATTGCTTTAATTGAGCTAATACTTGGTCCAGTATGAATAAAATAATGACTTACCTAAAAAGGAGTCCATACTACCACTATTTAGTCTTCTTTAAGACCTTCAGAAAAACCATCTATTGTCTAGTAACTACCCTGGAAACATTATCCCTCGCCATGTTTTATACAGCTTGTCATACATTTGTATATACATATTTTTGTATAGCTTATCACATGCTTTCTCTGGTCTCTGTGGTTGTTACTTATAGTTAATTCTTCCACCAAGAGAGCCTTCTTCTTCCAGTCTTTTCCACCTGTTTAGGTCTTTGACTATAAAGGTTCAACTCTCATCTGCTTTTCTCCACAAAGTACTGTGCAATAATTCTAGCTAGTGCTCTGGATCTATTAAGGTATCTGATGTCTAAAGCACAAAACCTGGAACTTGAATATTGCTGGAACGTGTGACTATGGTCACCTAGCATACTGCTTACAAAGAGGTTGCATATATACTATTAAAAGTGATGTTGAATAAAGTGGGTTAGATTCTTCATTTCCCTTTTTATTGGAGAGGAACAAATCATGAGACTGACTTCCCTGAAGTAACAAAACTAGTAAATAGCAAAAAGGAGAAGCAAATCCTGACATCCTTCCAACTGCCTGTTTACACCTGTGTATGAAATGTTTTTGAAACTGAATCCCTTTCATGTATTTCTACTTCAGAGTCCAGCATACAGTTGCCATATAGAAGAAAAGTTAATTTACTCAGTGAACTTACTTTAAGAGAATGCTCTCTGGACGTTGTTTTGTTGGTTTTTGTTTTTGAAACAGGGTTTCTCTGTTTTTGGCTTTGAAGACCAGGCTGGCCTCAAACTCACAGAGATCTGCCTGCCTCTGCCTCCTGAGTGCTGGGATTAATGGAGTGTGCCCCGCTGCCTGGTTGAAATTTTTCTTTTAGCATATTCTGTATTGCATGGAAATGCATGCTCTTCGTCTCTTTTCATCGCTGTCTGTCTCCTCTATCTCTATCTCTCTCTCCTACACACACACACACACACACACACACACACACACACACACACACACACACACTAGTGCACACAAAATGGTAATATGTCCCAAGGTTGACCTAAATATTGACATGTGGAATGGGTTTACCACAGGATGGTAGAAGATGTGAAATCAGAAGAACAATGGGCTTCTTTAGGGAGAGGCTTAAGAAGTAGGGTGATTTTATTTGTAAAATATATAATGAGTAAGATTTCATTTTATGTGGATAAATTATATATCACTATAACTGTTAAAAACAAACTGACTTTATTCACAAGACACAGTATCTGTCATCATCATTACCATCATAATATAACAATAGTCAACATTTACTGAGTCCTAAGTATACACTGTGCACATGGTGCTTTTAAGTACATTATTTTATTGGGATTTACCAATAACATTTTGATACATATATGATCATGACAATTTTATTAATGAAGAAATCAATAACTAAGAAATATAATGACTGGAGTTTGGAGTATAGGTCAGTGGTAGAGTGCTTGCCTCCAAGTTTTATGTGTAGTATTACAAAATTTTCTGTCCAAGGTCACATGTCTTATAATTGGAAGCACTAGGATACCGACTGACACCTGCTTCTGAAATTCCTTCCTATCTACTATCAAGGAAAGTGCTAACCACTTCAAACCTGTAGCAAGCAAAGGATCATTTAATTAAAACCTAAGCCTAAACCAACAGATCATGAGAGCTATGGTATCTTATTACAATTCTATGTGCAAAAATACTCAGAAAATTTTACTTCAGTTATTTGGCTAATCTTTGGTTTTCTATTTTTCTGTATAAGTTGATCTAACCTGGATTATTTTTCCCTTGCATGTTAACTACTTATCCATGACCCTTATAGCCTATAAGAATAGTTCCTGAATTTTGCCTTTAAAATAAGAACCCTTAAGACAGATTTTATTCCATAATAATTTTACTTTCTGTCTGGGTCATGAGCCCTTGGCTCTGCTCATGTGTGCATACAGACCACTGCAGCTGGCCCAAATGAGTGGAACTCTTTGGAGAAAGGACAGAAATGGCCATTTACCCCCTGGGCTCTAATTATTCCAAATCTCAGCATTTTGTGGTAAAGAAAATGTACAATGACCTACTAAACAATATTTGTTGTGGCTCTCACAGAAGCTGGCAGATCTTTGGAACATACACATAAAAATCTTCGGAAATACTTAGCCTCAAAGGAATGTGGGTTGATTCTTAAACTGGGCCCTCCACTAAGACATCAATGGCAGGGCAACTAACTGCAGGGAGAGATTTTCCACTGGACACATAACCTATAGCGTCCTACTTGCTGTGGTCTTCAGAGTAATGTGGCACTGGAATCTACTAATCTTCTCAACAGAATATGGGGAGAGAGCAGAAGACAGAGGCAAATGGCAATCAAAGAAAATGAGAGAAATTCTTGTCTACCAATTTTCATGCAACTGTATCGGTATCTTCATTCATTTTACTCTTCCAACGTTCTTAATCATTTAGGGGAGAAAATTATGAAAACAAAGCCACAGATAACTTGAAAAGATTTGACACATGTTACAAAGCTGCTAAGTAGGAGAATAGATGAAGAAACAGTTCTTCTGTCTTCCAGTGTGTGCTTTTATCACAAATGGGTGCCAAGATTGTAGAATAGTCTCTATGAATCGTTATGGTAGCCCTAGTATCAACTCCCTATAACTTTGCACATGCTACTTACCCTTGTTTGTGCTTGATTTTTCTATCTAAGAATAAGGCACTCATCTCAAATCTCCCTGAATCTTTATATGGCCAACACAGCATGCTTTCCAACCACACAAGCAAGAAAAAAGTCACCCCAGTCTCTATTCTCTCTCTTCCCAGATTTTCTGAGGTGGCTGGGCTTTGAACCAACTATCCTTGGAACATATTCAGTGCTCCTAGCTGAAAATTGGCAGGAAATCAGTGTAAACCCAAGCTGGCTCCAGTACCCCTCAGGAGAATACTATAACAAAAGTATCCCGGCTGCATAGCTTCTAGTCTCCCCGTGTACCCTGTTTCTACTTAATTTCCCACAAAATACTGTGAAAAGTAGTGGAAGAGAGACACCATGAAGAAATCAGACCAGCAATGAGACAGCATTACAGAAGGACTGGAAAAGAAGTCATTTCCCTCTTCTTTCATGCATTATGACCTTATAAATAAACAGAACTATGGTTTCTTACAGGCTTAGAGAACACTTCCTTACCATAAATATTTACTACTTCTTTTGTCTTACCAAACTCTAAAATACTATCAGAGATTCATCCTAGTCCCTAAGTGATTGTCAATTGTCAATTAGATTTTAGAATCCAACAGACTATCCAGAAGGAGTTAAGACTCAGGAGGTTGTTACATGTCTGGGAAGGCTGACACTTAGAAAATTCTGGAAGACCATGACCTGCTTTATGAAAACAGTAAACAACTGCTGCAAGAAGAGACTCTGACAGAAAAAGGACTTTTAAACCTGTTGAATTGCTTGCAAGTTGTGCAGAGAGCTCCAATAATGCGGCTTTAGTGAGTTGTGACCCATTTGGGAGGGATTTAATTGTCTGTCTACCTACCTTCTATCTATTTATGTATCTATGTATCTATGTATCTATCTAATTTTACCAATGCTTTCGAATCTCCTCTGCTCCTATAAGTAACTCCTAACCCATACTCCTGTTAGTTACCTCAGTGATAACTCAGTGGTTGACCAAGTTGAACTTGGATGCAATTGTTAACTGTGGTCTGTTGTGGGTTCCCTTTCTGAGGTTAGTAGATGTGTGTGAACTGCATCTCCCTAGGGAAAGTCAGTCTCATACACAGCAGTACTTCCAGTAATATCTTAGTGATAATATCTGTGGAACAGTGTGTTTACTCTTTTCTGTCTTTTTTTTCTCTTCAGAGTACCAGGACAATTGTATCAAAAACTCTGTGATCCTATCCCACATCCTTTTGTACATCATTCTTTTCCCACCTGGTGCTATCCTTCTCCAAGCTCTGGTTTCTCTCTTTCTTATTTTCTTCACCATCAGGCTGCCATTCTTTTAGTGGAGAAATTCTTGGCTAGTTAGAAAAAGCAGCATGCAGGTGAGAAGACATGCAAATTGAGCATGTCATGAAAGGAGCTCAAAGCTATATAGGGCCTCCAAGACTAAGATGCTACCCTCAAGAGCCAGGACACCCTTTCTGTTGTCATTGCTCTTGTTTCTACTTTATTTTTCATGGGTGAGTTTGAATATAACTTCTTTATGCTTTTGTGACATTTCGCTGATACAGTATCAGAAAATCTTCAGGGCATATTAGAGGGCAAGAGGTCAGGATGGGGAGGGAATATGGAAATGCAATAAAGACTTGACAGAAGAGGCAATGAAAACAAGGTATGGCCGGGCATTGGTGGCACATGCCTTTAATCCCAGCACTCGGGAGGCAGAGGCAGGCAGATCTCTGTGAGTTCAAGACCAACCTGGTCTACAAGAGCTAGTTCCAGGACAGCCTCCAAAGCCACAGAGAAACTCTGTCTAAAAAAAACAAGGTATGAATGATTATGAACTTATATTTTATGCACAAGAGAGTATATTTTAAAAAGTATATACTCATATTCACTTGTATTTTTCTTAAGTAAACATGGAAATCTACACAAAAAGTCATAATAGTTATGAAGAAATTATATGTTGGGGAGAAATAGTTTTATGTGGCATAATATGATAT